TCAACGCGCTGTCCGGAATGGCGTCTTTCAGCCAGGTTTCCGTGAAACACAGAGCAGCAGAAGAAGTTCGTCCGTTTTGTTGGGTAGAGAGCGGAGGTTCGCCAGATGGATGCTTGGCAACGGCGTCCTGAATCCGCGCTGTCTGAGCTTCACGAGCGCGCCGGCTCGCTTCCCCCGTCTGCGCGTCCTGAAGCGCTTAATCAGCGCCGCAGCTCCCCCGACAACAATGTCCAGGAAAACATCCGAATAGTCGAAAACCGGTGAAATATCAGGTGGTGTGTACTTCCGAATGTCCAGCAATTCGTCTCTGGTGAAACTGATTGCAGGGATATAACTAAAGACAGGACAAACTGACAAAAACATAAAAACAACTGCAGAGCACGCCACGGAGGCAGCCATCACCGTCGGCGCCATTGTGCATAAAAATGGCACACATTGCTCATTAAATGATACTGCTACTGACAAGGGAAGTAAAAATGCACAGATCTGACAATGAAAATCTATTGCAGCATTTACTGAATTTAATATTTTAAATACAATAATACAAAGTGTATTACATGTTCATTTCTTTACCAAACTATTTCTGACTTCTTGCAGATGTGAACTGTTGATGAGTTGTAACAAAATAATTAAATTGTGATTTCTTTTACAATTCATTGTCATTGCAAGTTTCATGATGCATGGAATTATGTAGTAGAAATGCATACAATACTGTGCAAAAGTTTGGAGTCAGCAAGATTTTTTAAAAGAAATTCAGCAATCCAGACATTAAATTGATTAAGGTGACAGTAAAGACACTCACAATGTAACAAAATATTTCTATTCCTTATAAATGCTGTTCTTTTGAACCTTCTATTCATTAAAAAAAAAGGAGAAAAAAAAAGATTGATTTAGAATGATTTATGACACTGAAGACTGGAGTAATGATACTGAAAATTCAGCTTTGCCATCACAGGAATAAATTACATTTTCAAATATGATGACACAGAAAACTGTTATTTTGAATAATATTTCACAGTACAGTTTTTACTGTGTTTTGTTTAAATAAATGCAGCCTTGCTGAGCATAAGATACTTCTTTCAAAAACCTTTAAAAAGCTTACCGACTCCAAACTTCTGAACAGTATTTGTGATAATATAGTACTCATATGTGCCTACACTCTTCTACAAAATCCATTATATATTTAGATTTAACTCTGAAACATGTTAATATCAATAGAATACTCACCATAGGGAATGTTCAGTCGAACCTGCTCCTTGCGGTATCCTTCCAATGCGGCCGCCCAGCGGGTCACCTGCTCTGAAGTGTCATCAGGAATGGTGGCTCGCTCCACCGCAATCACTTGTCCATCCTCCACCAGATGGGCTTCCTCGCCAGCAGCCGCGTCTGGATCAATCACCACCTCCACAGTCTCCACTGGCTTCACAATCTCCAGAATATTCAATTTCTCTTCACCTAAAACAGACCACAAATGCACAAGCAAGTCAAGTTTAGGTTTCATTATTGCTGTAAATTGGTAGTTGTGGCATAACTTTTTAACAAGGATTTATTTTATTATTTAATTTATATAAATATAAGGGAAACTATCTCTTATGTAGCTGCTAATTTCATTTCAAGTTTTTCCACTATTTGTAATCTTGTTTTTGCCATCCCTAATTAATTTTAAATGGTCCTTCCTTGTTGTGATTATTTTTTTAAAGAGCAAATACTCATGTAGTCTCTCAATTACTATGAGCTCGTAAAAGCTGCATGCATAATTACAAAAGAATTAGCAAAGTGCTGTTTAAAACAGCACTACACCCCCGCAGGACACGTCAACTACCCAAATATTTTCATTTATCTGAAGGGCATGTTGACAAGTTGAGATTTGTCCAACAGCAATATGAGATCATTGTAATCTGTTACCCTGTTTTGAGACAATCTGCACGCTGAGCTGTACAGTGCCATCGGTCTTCACTCCTTGATCGAACAGGCTGTGATCAGGATGCAACTACATGAGGAAAGGAGCAGAGACAGGGAGTGAAGAGCTTAGCCCATGAATACGAGGAGTGCACTCAAATAAGATTACATTAATATAGAAGCGCATACTAGGATGTCCTGCAGACAAATGTCATATCCATCCAGTGGGACCTGAAGACGAGGCTCCAGTAGCTTCTTCAGGTTACCGATCGGCTCATTGATGTCAATGTCTTGAGTAATCAGTTCAGCTGCTGTGATGGTTTGCTCCTCAATCCTGACATTTGGTCACATGAAACAGATCATTTCATACGCACAAGATACATGTTGCACAATGAGATGATTCCTCTAAACACATCAAACAGAGAAGGAAAAAAAGGAAGAGAAAGTCAGAAAAGGCACTTACCCTTCCTCTAGACACTCCTGTTTCTCCCTACCATCAATCTCAATTTCAATCATCTCCTCTGTCTCACTTTTTGACATCCCTTCTACTCCTGGTCCAACTATAAGGCGAATACATAAAAATATAAGAATTAAGTTTTTTTTTTTTTTTTTGCAATTTCTCACAAGAAAGTGTACAACAATTATCAGTAACACTTTAAGGTCTAATTTGTTAATACAACGGTTTGTGAATACAACTGTTCATTGTACATGTTAGTTCACAGTGCATTAACAGATTAGATTTTTTTTAAATGCATAGGTAAATGTTGAACAGTAACTAAGATTAATAAATGCTGCAGTAGTATTGTTCATTGTTAGTTCATAGTAACAAATAATACCTTATTGCAACGTGTTACCTAATTATATACTTCAAAATAAAAAAATAGGATATATAGTTTTACATTATTTTTAGCATTTTGATGAACACAAAGTTATACAAAACATATAAATGTGCTTCAAAGTCACTAAATGTTCAGATTAACGCACTCTTGCGGTCTAAGAATTCTCTGAAGTCCAATAAACTCTAACGCAACACCGAGGCTTTGCTTGAGTACAGGCCCGCCATGGCATTTTCCCCACATTAGCACTTTATTAAACACAGGAGACGTATTATTCAATAAATATGCCAGCCATTTGGTCAATCCATTTATTATTTTCGTGTGTGGGTTTGAACGCAATATTTTATTAATATAATTTCCAGCGGCGGCTGGGTGGGAAGACGACGCGCGAATCGATACAAACGCAGTTGCCATGTTGGAGTGCTTTTGGGTTTCGTAATATAAGCGCAAATTTGGGCGTAAAAGACGACTTTTTAAAACTTCCGAAACTTTCAGGGGGTAGCTACACATCAAGACTTTTGATTCTGGGAAGTTAAAACGGAAATGGAAGAAACGGAAACAAAACAAGAGAAGGGCAGATGTAAAAGCAGCCGGAAATCCTGGCCGAAGTCACGGCGGCTGACAGACTTCCGAAAACAGCCGTGCGCCTAAAGAAACGGACGGAAACATCGCGGTGTTTAATTATGCGCTTCGTGCTGAATATAATGTCTGCGACAGGTACAATCACGGATGCAATATATATGTATACCTGGCCTCTTTGTTAGCTGCTTAGCTTATGCTGACGAAAGACACGCCTGGTTGAACTGAATATCTGCTCGCGCTGACAGCTTGCGCTAACTTTTACGAAAAGTCGCGCTTTGTTTTTCACGACGGAGTTATAAGCGTCGACAATATTATATTTCGATGGAAGATGATATATTTTAAATTATCCAGAATAAAGTTTACCTACTGCTTGTCGGACGTGAGAGGGCTGGCTTACAGTCAGTTCTGTTAGCACTCCAGCTAGCTCAGTTTCCCCTTAGGATGCTAACAGTTAGCTGGCGCAGAAAGCGGGAAAACTGACTCGCTTATAACCTCACACATATGTAACATACTCCTTTTTGTCCTCGTTTATCTCAGATGAATTAGTGTTGCGGCCAAACGTACCTCTTTATCCCGTTCAGTAAGTGCTGTGTTGGAGTTTTTGCGCACTAAAGCTGGGTGTCTGAGGCTATAGTTTAGTGTGTGTGCTAATAAGTTGAGTGAATGTTCATGCTGGTTTTTGGTCAACATTGCATTGGGGGCGGGGATGAGAAGGAGGCCTCGCTGCCCACTGACAGCAACATACTTCCCACTGTGCATTTTTCAGCTATATATCATAATGTATAAAGGTATTTATTTGGTTATGTGTGCCAAATAATAGCAGATAACAGAAGGTGTTGTCTTTAACACTGTCTTAAGTGTGAAAATCGACGCGTTATTGGATACTTAAGTAAACACATTTATTTATATATCTTCCATTACGTGTTTTTTTATTTGTATTGTTATGTTTATTATCTTGTGTTATATGTTTGTACTTCTGAGCTCATGGAAACAACAAATGTATGTATTTGTTGTGCAAACTTAATAAAGCACATTTTATTCTTCAGTGATTTTTCCCCTGCTGATGGACATTACAGACAGTGTTTAAAGAAATATCTCACTGTTTTTGGATGTGACCATTAACTGTCTTGAAGCCAATTAATAAATAAACTTGGAAAATCAAACTGATTTGTGCATTATTTAACATTGAGAGTATATGCTACAGTCGCTTAATCTCTGTAAAAAGAGGAACCAGTCTTGCAGTGGAGTGTGGATTTTGCATTTACTTTATTTTACATATCAGTTAATGTAACAAAAGACCCAAACATTTGTTCTTTTAGACACTGCTGGTTGATTTGAGCCACATATGAACTAAACCAAACAGTTAAATAAGCTCAGACACATTGTTGTACAAGGAATGGTCCACTCAAAAAAAAAAAAAAAAAGTCATTTACACACCTAAATGTTGCTCCATACCTGTATATCTTTGTTTCGTCTGTGGAACATAAAATATATTTTCATAAATTTCATAGAACATCAAATCTTTTTGGGTGAACTATTCCTAACAAATCCAATTTCATTGAGAAATACCCATAATTAGAACATAGATGATACTTGTGATTCATTTCTACTAAACATCGATCATATGATGACTAATACTTTTTAGAGACATCCTGAGACAAGACAAGCTTCTGTAGCATCACATCTGTAGTTGGACCTCTGCTCAGTGGCTTGATTGAAACCAAAATAAAATGAAATAGTGCAACATTTACAGTCTCTACTCTAGGTTGTGAGAAGTCAAACAGATATGAGACCATTAGAATACTACACGGTGTCTAAAAATAAATGAATTCTCTTGAATTGAAAAATAAAAAAGCTTTTTACAGTAGTACAAAAGAATCAGCAGAGCTTAACCATTATGTGGGTCTGTTGTGGATGGACCTCAACACCAGGGGGCGTGTTTTCTGCTCGGAAAGGCCATCAGAGCAAATCATAGATATATACAAGTGCACTTGATGTAAGATATGGTTCTCTCTTTGAGGTCACTTAAATTCACTTCTTTTAGCACAGCGCTATGTAGTATGTGCACGCTCTTCATAGCACAAAGGATTGTGTATGTTTGTAGCGTCTCAGCTGAGGAGAGAGATGAACAATGGGATGAAGACTAGTCATTATTATAAAGAACAATCTCTACAGTGCCATTACTATAATGTTTGACTAGTGAGTTATCAATAGGAAACTTAAAGACTTACGTCTGGAGGGTTATAGCTGGTCTTTGTTCTGCTGAAAAGTGAAAAGAAAGCACCGTTTTGTTCCTAATGGTCTGTTACGTATTCTTCTTCTTATAGGTTAGAGTACATTAAAAGATACTGCATAAGACGTACCTTTGTTTAGTCTCTCTTTTATTCTCTGTTGGTAAATTTGAGATTAATGTTAGTGTTCAAAGTTAAATAGCATATTTAGATTGTGTTTGAGTAAATGGTACTCACTGCGGCAGCAGCGACAGCACCCTCTTCTGCAGCACAGACAGATGGCAACACAGCATGAGAGGAGGAACAGGAACGCTCCCACTTCTAAGGCTATAACTATTGTCATGTTCAGCTCAACTGTAACAGAGCATGTCAAACAAATATTCATTTACACTCTGTCCAGTTATTATGTTAGTCAAGGGTGTTGAGGCAAATCTAATTCAGTTTCCCACCATCGCTCTAGCGTTTTGACTTAAACCTGATGTTTTGTTGGGCATCTAAGGAACTATGACTAATGTGTTTTTGATGTGGTCAAAATGACCCCAAACAGAAACAACGTTACTAGAATACCATTCAAAGGTTTGAGGTTGATACATTTTGCGAAATATTACAAGTTAAAATGACTGGTGTCAAGAAACATCTCTGATTATTATCAATGTTGAAAACAGCTGTGCTGCTAAACATTTTTTATGGAAACAGTTATACATTTATGTACATTTATGCGATAATCTCACTTTTCGATCATTTTATCCTTGCTGAATAAAAGTATTAATTTCTTTCCCCAAAAAAATCCAATATGCAGATGATGTCATTTTATTTATTTCTGAGCCCAATAGTACCATTCCAAATATCCTTAATTTGATTAATTACTATGATACATTTGCAGGATATAAAATTAATTGGGACAAGAGTGTGTTGATGCCAGTTACTATCAAAGATTCTTCTTGGCTTCAGCATTTGCCCTTAAAGATTGCTTCAGAACAATTCACATACCTAGGAATTGAGGTGACAAAATTTTTTTCCAACTTAGTGAAGGCCAATTTTCAACCCCTGTTGTCTAAACTTAAATCCATGTTCAATTTCTGGAGAACACTTCCTATTTCTCTTGTGGGTAGGGTAAACACAATTAAAAAAAGATGACATTTCTTCCGCAATTTTTGTATATAGTGCAGAACATTCCTGTATTTCTGCCCAAATCTTTTTTCAAAAAACTGGATTCTATTCTGGTTCCATTCGTCTGGAATTATAAAGCCCATAGGATTTCTAAACAACACCTGTGTAAACCCAAAATACAGGGAGGGCTCGCCCTACCTAATTTTCTTTATTATTATTGGGCTGCAAACCTGAGGGCCTTGACGTCATGGATAGATTTTACTCCGGTGGGGGAGAATTGGTTGGTGTTGGAACAGGAGGAATGTCTCCCATATTCTATTAATGCAATACTTTTATCACCCAAAGGTATAGCTAGTTCACTTTATAATCATAACTCTGTTATTCATAATTCTGTTCGTATTTGGAAACAGTTAAAGACACATTTCAAATTCACCCAAATGTCGTTTTTGCTCTCTATCTCAGCTAACCCCTCTTTTTGCCCTTCAATGTTAGATAGTGCATTTGAGTTTTGGAAAAATTTAGGGTTACGAAATGTAGGGGATTTATATATAAATGGAAATGTATATATTCCTTTCAGCAGCTGTGTGAGAAATACAGTATTCCTTCTAATCACTTCTTTAGGTACCTTCAAATAAGAGACTTTGTGAAGTCTAACATTGCTAATTTTGTCACAGCTTCACCCATGTATCTGGACACATTTCTGGAAAGATGTCTTAGAGATGGTAGTACCATCTTCTTGCTCCATCTATGGAGAATATTAAATCTGCCTGGGAAGAAGAACTTGCAGTAGAAATTCCTAGTGAAATTTGGGAACAAAGTCTTGAGCTGGTCCACAGATGTTCCATTAATTCAAGACATTGTCTCATTCAGTTTAAAGTGCTTCATAGGCTTCATTATTCCAAGTGTAAATTGAATAAAATATTTCTAGAAGTGTCTCCACTGTGTGACAAATGTCAGTTTTTAGATTCCAGCCTGTCTCATTGCTATGTCTTGTGTCCCAAATTACAGAGTTTCTGG